GCTTACGTAACTTTGCAGAAACGTAAATTTTTACGCTTTAGCAGCAGACCTTTTATAAAAGAGGTTTCTAATATTAACAAGGTATATAATGTTCTAATATGTTTTAATAATAGTAAACTTTTGTGTGATTTAGCTTCGAGTGAAAACATGAACAATCGAAGCCACATAATGATAGCTTACCTTTCGGGTCTACCGAGAGAGGGTGCATTAAAAACATAGGAAAAACACTATTAGGAGTGAAACATCTATCTATTACAAAGCATTCTATTTTTCAATAAAGCCTATTTAGCAAAAAGACTGCTTGACATAATAATTTTACATATTAACGCAAAATTTATAAAATCTTGACAAGTCGCACGCACCCTCAGAACGAAAGCGGCACAACTCAAAATTTCTTTTTCTTTTTTTATTATCATTTTATGTTCATGTAGGTTATATTCTTATACCGGGTGCGTCTCAAAAATGTCTCACCCCTATAACTTTTTTATTTTTTCCCTTAAAAAAAACGAGTTTTGGTATATTAGTATATGACATAAATTAGGATTGATTGACGTATTCAATTGTTTTCGGTCACTTCCTGTTTCACCGGAAATGACTACAACTTTTGATTTTTAAATAGTACCCTCAGTATCTTTTTACTTTATTCGAAAGAAAATAACACTGTGAATAGAATGACATATCATATGTCAACTTTTGACATTTTCGCATATGGTGTATTTGAAATTATAACTTGCGGTTCGTAACAAAAAGTCTGTGGTATCAAACTCGGTATCAAATTATTCGTAAAAAATGCTATTTCCAAATATGCTAATGAACCACCCTCATTCCATTTGAAAAAATTGAGATATGATTAAAAATACGATTTGAGCATTTTCTAATTGGTCAGGACAAGACACTAAAAACATTAGACGATCAAATCTATTTTTCCAAGGCTCTTTGGTTAAGAATTAGTGTTTCTAACATAGCCATGCCACTCTAAATTTTAAAATTCAATTTTTTATTAAGCGAGAAAGTCAAAATTGACATATGATATGTCATTCTATTCAGAATGTCGTTTTCTATCAAATAAAGTAAAAAAATACCGAGGGTGCCATTTAAAAATCAAAAATTTTAGTCATTTTCGGTGAAACAGGAAGTGACCAAAAAGAATTGAATACGTCAATCAATAGTAATTTATGTCATATACTAACATACCAAATCTCGTTTTTTATCTGAAGAAATAAAAAAGTTATAGGGGTGAGCCACTTTTGAGACACACCCGGTACAATAATATAATTATTATATTATTTACTGATTATTAATAGAGAGGATTCAAAGTTAAAGTAAAGTGTTTTGGTGTATTGATGTAAATTACTGATTTATTTTGCTATATTTCTATGTTACATTTCGAAGAAAATTTGATATCAGAGATACCACTATTCGATTTTTGAAAAAGTAATGAATCGGTATTTTAAAAGTACTTGCAACATAGTACTAATTTACCATAACACACCAAAATACCATACGATCGAAAAAAGGGTGTCGAAGACGGCGGGAGAATGACAATCGATTACAACTTTGGCAAGATCAATCCCTAAACGTCATTTACCCGTACTCTCCTTTATTTTTTAATGGCACGTACTGCAGGCCAACTACCTGAAGAAGGTTTTAATTTAACTTTATAGTGAGTAAAAATGATTTTTAAACAGGGTTGGAAAAAATCATGATTTTTTTAAAAAAATCTGAAAAATCAGATTTTTTTAATTTAAATCAGATTTTTTTTTTAATAAAAAACATTATTTAAATCGGATTTCCAAATAATTAGGACTTAATTCCAATTAAATTCCTATCCTAAATGGCTAAATCTTCATAACTCTGCCCACGTTTGGAATTGATTAAAAAAATTATTTGTAACGTTTAATTTGTAAAAATATAACATATTCTACTCGGAGTAAAAATGTACTTTTGTGCCTCCCTGTTTACGCTAGTCCGTCAAACGTACAACTTCGTCAAAAAAAGTATAATTTTTACTCCTTCACAATACACTATTGTTCGGAAATAGTCATAAGTCGAGAATGAAATTAGTATTATCTATTGTCAAAGTGTAAAATAAAAAGATATAAAACAGCATATTTTCTGACAACGATTTGAAGATATAGCCTAACATCAAAAGAACCTTTTTCTGCACTAGAGGTTGCGAATGAAATGTATTCGAACAGCATTTTTTTGTCACTTGTACATAAATTTCAAAATAAATCCCTGCCCTTTAGAAGTCATGGATTCACACGAAATTACCTTAAAAATCGGTCCAACATTTTAATTGATGAATAGATATGTAGTAGGTATATGTGTTGTACAAATCATTTTTTATATAGTTTTAGAACATTTACATTATTTTTTCGATTTATTAAACGTATTTAAACGTTACAATAGCAAGTGTAACATTTTATTTAACGATAGATATAGGTACTTATATGTTATATAGAAATATTTTTTATAGTTTTCTAGGACACATTTTTATAACTTTTACAGTTATTTTTCGATTTATTATAAAGATTTAAAAAAGTTGATTTTTTGATTTAAATCACATGATTAAAATTTAAAAAATCACTTGATTTAAATCACGCTTTAAATCATGATTTAAATCATGCCAACCCTGTTTTTAAATGATTTAATTTAAAATTCAAATGACACCTAGAAATTGAACTCGCGAAAGTTATCATGGATTGTCATTGCCATCTTCGACGCCGTTTTTTTTTTCGATCATACGGTACTACAGTATGTCCCAAGATTGTCTTTACAAGAGGAAAAACTTTTTTATTATTGACATTATGAGAAAAATGCATTCTTCATAAAAATTGTTGTTTGTTCTAAAACGATTAATACCGTTGTAAATTTTTCCAAACATAAAAATAAGGTTGAATTTTTTTCCTAGTTATAAAAATTAAAAGGCATTTCTGGGGTAATATCAATTCGATTTTATTCTTTGATAGGTGGTTATTAATAGTTTTGATTAACGTCATATTCTGTGTTGTTAAAATATCATATGTTCCGATAACTATCATCGCTCTTTCCGTAGCATTGAACTAAATAAATTTTGTGCTTCTTTAACATTTTAAAACGGCAAAAAATATTGCATTAATTAAAATTCTATGAACAACAATCTATCAAAGAATGAATACGAAGTTATATTACCATAAAATCGCGTTTTGATTTTTAGGACAAAAAATTCAATTATATTTTCATGTTTATTTTGAGTTTCCTCTAATCTAAAACGGTATAGAAATTTTAAAAAGTATAAACAGGATTAACGATTTTAGAACAAGCAAAAAATTTTCTGAAGAATATTTTTTTCTCAAAATGTTAACAATAATAAAAGTGTTTCCTTTTGTAAAGACAATCAGGGGACATACTGTATATTATAAAATTTAAACTCTGGATTATCGTTTCACTAACCATGTTAGCTCCATCAACAGGTGATTAAAAGTCCTGTTTTAATTATCTGTTCCAGAGTCCAGAGTTTAATATAGCGTGTTCTAGAAGATTGTGGCAAATAAATATTATTTTCCTGATGTACCGTCAAAGGTTCCAACCTGAACTAATTTTTTTACATATATTTTTTTTTAATGATTCTAATTTAAGTGGGCAGAAATATACACAATTCCTGATCAATTCACAATGTCAAACAGTCTTAAAATAAGAAAAACAAATTTAACATAAAGCTTATCGAACAACAAACAACAAAACACTAAAATAGGAGAATCAAAATCAATTGTGCAACAGAGAAAGAAACAAATTTTACCGAAAATTAACTCAAGGGCAAGTCGCAGCAATTGTCACAACTAAAAATAGCCCATTAATACTAATTTATGTATTGTCATACATAAACAAGACCAATTTCAGGCGAACAGCTTCCCACAAATGCGAGAATAACTATAGATTTTTTCATATTTATTATATTATCGGTTTAACAACAATAATTCGCGTGGGATCGGGCTACTCAGGTAGAATTAATGAAAAAACAATAACTGGGTGTCGAACAGCTGGTTAGTTCAGAATGGTTGATATTATAAATAAATAATTAGTGAATAAAAACAAAAATATCAAAGCTGCCGTTGTCTTTGAATCGAACATAATACCTGCGAATTTGAATTGGTAATAGTTATTATATGGGCGAGAACCTCATGTCTCATTAGCAATGATAATTTTAAGAGGATAATTATAATTTACAATAAAATAACATAAATAAATATAAATACCAATACTGGGTATCACAATATTCAGAGCACATAAAACTACAATGTATTTTTGGAATCAAAACTTTATATAAATAAACACATTTTTTAAGATATTTTAAGAACCGTTGTTCGGATTTGAATGAAATTTGGAGTACCTACGAGTATACCTATGTTTAGCTAATTGCTTTAACATTTGGTCTTCACAAAAATTAAAAAAAGTACGGAAATGGTAAAAACTACCCCCACCCCTACACAAATTTTAGTAAAAATATTTTCCAACTCCACAGACGACCAAACGTTCGTAAAATGGTCCTTCTAGTATTTACTACATTTTTTGTATCTTGAAAGAAAACGCCACCGCGCATACTTTTTGAGGAAAAAATGTTTTTTCGAATCTAACTTACAAAGTAATGTTAAGTTAAGTTATGTAGGCGCGAAAATATAGAATGTTATGTTATTTTCAAAAATGATATTTGACAATAAGCTTCATAAATTTTAAATTAAGTGATGTTCGGATATATTTTTGATTGATGCCCTCTAAAGGACAAACGAAGCACTTTTCTAGAATGGTAAATCGTGTTTAATGAGCATAATTATTTTGATTCCAAAAATACATACTAATTTTACGTTGACGGAATATTGAGACACCCTGTATATAAATATTTTGCTTTGGCTAAACTTCAAAAATTCTAATTTAGTGCAAAAAACTTTCTGGTTCCATTGTATTATTATCATCATTTTAACGCTGAAACGGGTCTTGTTTTTTGAATCGACAAGTCTTACCTGGAAGTGCAGGATGATAGTCCATATCAGACCTAGGGTAAGCTTGGGGTTACCATCGACGATATCTTCCGAACGGATGTTGACAAGCTTGACGTTTTTACATCGAAGAAAATGAAGCGCGGTATCGATATTATGGAGCATGTGGAAGCGCATTTGACCTCTTTCTCTTGGCTGAAAATAAAAAATAAAACAATTATAGTTACATTTTTATACTATAACTAGCATGTACCAGCAACTTCGTTCGCGTCGAATTAATTAACATACAAACTGGATAAAATTTTCTCACATTTAAGGCAAAGAAAAAACAATATGGCGATATTATTATATAACTTGGTAATATTTGAGGGGTAGTTTCATCTCGTTGGAATTTTACTTTCGAAAAATCCGTTTCAAGCAGTTTAAGCAAAATCGTGGTTAAGAAATTACCCAACTTTTTGGAACACCCTGTATAATTTTTTAAAAAATTTCAAAATATGTAAAAAACCAAATAAATTACGCTTGTCCAAGCGTTTTCCCCAAAGACTAACCGTTTTTTAAATAACAAATATTGTAATATTTGAGGGGGGTTTTCACCCTCTTGGAATTTGAGATTTGAGAAACCCCTATCGAAAAAAATTATCGAACCTTTACACCCCACAATCAATCCATTTGCCAAAAATCAGCCTTAAACGTCAAGCAGTTTAAGCAGAATCGTGATTACTCAATGATCATATTTTATAAGACACCCTGTATAAATTTATAAAAAATCTTAAAATATGTAAAGCAACAAAATAAAATATACGTGTTTAAGAGTTTTTCCGAAAAACTCACTGGTTTTTAAATAAAAAATATATTAATATTTGAGGGATAGTTTCACCCCCTTAGAATTCGAGTTTCGAAAAATCCCTTCTTATCGAACTTCTACACCCTAAAGTCAATTTGTTTTCCAAAAATCGGCTTTTTTCGTCAAGCGCTTTAAGCAGGATCATGATTAATCAATGACCAGATTTTTCGAAACACCCTGTATACATTTTTAAAAAATCTTAAAATATGTAAAAAAACAAAATAAAATATACGTGTTTAAGCGTTTTTTGGGAAACTTGACCGTTCTTGAAATAAAAAATATTGTAATATTTGAGGGGTGATTTCACCCTCTTGGAACTGGAATTTCGAAAAATCCCTTCTTATCGAACACCCTAGAATCAACCTGTATGCCAAAATTGAGCTTCTTACGTTGAGTGGTTTGAGCAGGATCGTGATTAATCAGTATGTCAGTCACTTATGGATTTTATACAGGGTTGTTCACCACATACGACACGGAGTATTGTAGCTAAACGATTAGATTTTTACAAATTGTAAGTTTTGGGTTCGTTGAAGGACTATTAGAGCTACAATTTAAAAATATTTTTACAAGATATAGAGTGTCCCATATAAGTAAAAATATTATTAAAAATATTATTATTGTGTTGCAATAATAGAAATTTTACTACCTTATACAGAGTGTCCAAAATATTGTATTAGCTACAAATACTTCGTGTCGTATGTGGTGAACAACCCTGTATATTAGTATAGATATACAAAATATGAAAGAATTGGAAAAAACACGCTTTTGTAGCAGATCAAAGTAAATAGTAAACAATATTTTTTAATTTTTAATGTGTGAGAAAATTTGACTTAAAAACAAAATTATAATTTTAATAATCAAATAAAAATATTAAATAATGAATTGAAAAATTACAAAATAAATCCTGATGTTACAAATTTAAAAAAAAACATGACGAAAACACAAAGGTCCTTTCCGTTTACATTGATATTTAATTAATACTCCTATATCTAAAATCTATTTCATAGATCAAAGACATTCTTTAACAAGAAAATCAATAATCTAAAAATAAACCTAATAATTTAATAAATAATGGTCTATTGAAACGAAATTTATCTCAATAAAACACGTAGATAGACTTAATTGTTGGTATTAATTTTATTACAACAATATCCGAATATTTTATACTCTATTGTTAGATTTCGATAACTACACAAAAACATTTCACGCATGGATAAAAACTGTGTACTCCCTTTAAAACATAAAACAACCATTGGAAAAAGCACAGAAAATACATAATTTAGTTTTCACTCACAATGTATAGGTCAAGGAATATACAGGGTGTCCCAGAATAAGTGAAAATATTTTAAGGAGTGGTAGATCTGGCCAAAAGAAACCTATTTACTTTTTACCATTTTTAAAATAAATGGAAAATAACCGAGTTATTTAACTTTGAAAACTTAAAAAAATATTGGCAAAATTTTGAGAGTCGCGTGTCGAAAATGCCAAGCAATTACTAGAATTCCTATCTCACACTCTTGTTTTTGTGAATAAACACCAAAATAATTGATATTTCTATTTGAATAATAAACATTTACATTTACTTAGAACAAGTTTTCTGTGTTGAGTAAAATCTCAAATGAATTAGATAACCTAAAAATTCAATCAGGTGATCTGTTTAAATTTAGGTCAAACATTGACTATTTACATATCTAATAGAGGGCGCTGATTCTAAACTGTTCATTATTTAGTTTCATTATTTCACTTTACTAAACTGTAAAAAAGTGTAAAAAAGATATTTAAAATATAGTAGACGTTGCACTATGGCTTAACAGTAACCTACAATGAAACTTAAAAATGTTAACTTCTAACAGACATAGACAAAATGTGGATAACGTAGGAGGTGGCAACATTGCATTCTTTCGAAGCACTATAAAGAAATTTCCGGAAACTGAACAAGCGGCACTCAAAAGTTTTTCAATATTTTCCGGAAAATGTCAAGAAAATATAAAATTTTCAACAGTTTTCGCACAAAAAAATAAGGGCGTGTTTCTGGGGTCGAACTAATCTACCAGTTAAAATACTTGCAGTTATTTCTGGGACACTCTGTATAGCGTACCTACATATTGTAAAAATTATTCATTTTGAAAATGGCGCTATTACAAAGTAGGTACTTACACCAAAAAAATATTAATAATTTGCAATTTTACAATTTTGAGGAGGTTTAAATCTGAAGAAAATTTAATCTAAAATTTTGTTATACAGGGTGTCCCAGAAATAAGTGCAAGTATTTTAAGGGGTGGTAGATCTCGATAAAAGGAACATATTTTCTCTTTATCGTTTTTCAAATAAGTCCAAAATAACGGAGTTATTTTACTTTGAAAATTTCTAAAAAAAAATGATTTTTTGCTAATATTTTAAGAACCACTGGATCTTTTCTGGATTTTCTTTCGTGTAAATAATCTAATACCTATGTTGCCATATTATCAAGAAATTATGTTTTTTAACTAAAAACTAAAAAAAAAAAAATTTTCAAAAAATGTCGAATTTTCAATTTTTTTTTGCGAAAAAAACCTCAGACGTGTTTCTAGGGTTGAATTATACTACCAGTTAAAATACTTGCATTTATTTCTGGGATACCCTGTATATCAAAAAGTACTCTACTATAAAGACATGATGCTATAATATACAGGGTGTTTCAAAACAAATGCGAAAAACTTTAGGGGGTGATTCCTTGTTCAAAATAAAAGGTAGTTTGCTTTATAAACGTTGGGTCAAAAGTCAACCATTAGGGAGATATCGCGGTACAAAGATGGCGGAAAAATAATGTTTTTATTTTTTATCTTGAAAACGAAAAGAGATAGACTAATGAAATTTTATGGAAGCATTACTGTTATGAAAACACACTTTCAGGTAATTTTTTACTTTTTAAAATGAGTGGAAGGGGTTGAAATAAACTACCCCTATCATTCTTGTTAACGAAATTTAAAGAAAAATCTTATCAAACACATGCAAATGCTTTAATTTGGATAGTTTAGTTTGTCTAGAAACTTTTTATCTCTTGTGTTTTTGATAAAACTCACCGATTTGAAATTAAAAATAAAATGTAAAGCATTACATGTCAGGACAAAAACATTTTTAGATTAAGAATCTAGTGATAATAACGATAATAATAATCATCTAGATAATAACGTATTGCAATAGAGTAATGTCAAATAAAATAATATTAGGAACATCCTAAAAAGTAACAGCGGCCGACTAGATTTTTTCCTAAAAAAATTACAGCAGCCCGCTAGATTCTTTATCAGAAAATGTTTTTTGTCCTGACATGTAATGCTTTACATTTTATTTTTTAATTTCAAATCGGTGTGTTTTATCAAAAAAATACAAGAGATAATAAACAAACTAAACTATCCAAATTAATTTTTTTGCATGTGTTTGATAAGATTTTTCTTTAAATTTCGTTAACAAGAATGATAGGGGTAGTTTATTTCAACCCCTTCCACTCATTTTAAAAAAGTGAAAAAATTACCAGAAAGTGTGTTTTCATAACAGTAATGCTTCCATAAAATTGTATTAGTCTATCTCTTTTCGTTTTCAAGATAAAAAATAAAAACATTATTTTTCCGCCATCTTTGTACCGCGATATCTCGCTAATGGTTGACTTTTGACCCAACGTTTATGAAGCAAACTACCCCTTATTTTAAACAAGGAATCGCCCCTGAAGTTTTTCGCATTTGTTTTGAAACACCCTGTATAATACTAAGTATATTTTTAATATGAATAAGAATTGTATGGCAAATCCAATAAGAAAAATAATTATGACAAAGACATATCATAAAAATTCACCTAAAAAGCAAGAAAAACTAATGAATTGTTATGTCTTTCTCTGTATTCATTCATACAAACAACTTAGCAGATTTCATTCATCTAAAATGTCAGTCATTCATCACATCACATATCTAATTTGGAACACGAACCTTGCCCTTGAATACGTTCACTTAATGAATATTCAAAGAAACTATCATGCTTTTTGCTTTTCATTATTCTCGCTACATATTTAATTAGATTATAATGTCCGGTGTAAAGAAAATTGTAATTGTTTTTCCAGTTATTTTTTTTTTAATTATGCATTAAAAACAGGAAAAATAGGATTGTGTATTTTATGAAAATTCTGTTTCATTTTGATTGCAGTAAATAGATAATGTATAATTAAGGAATATATAGAAGAAATGTATAACAAAAGTTTATAAATTTTTATATAAAAAATATCTAAAAAAATAAATCTATAAGAAATGTAGATTCTAAAAATTTATGTTGTCAGTGTGATAATAAATCGTCCTGTTTTTCTTAATTTCAAGTCAAAGAACATGTCAAATTTTTTAATAATTATTTTGCATACTAATTTTTAAATATTTTTATGAGCTTCATTTTTAAGAGCAAATGTACCATGAATATAATGACGTGATGGTCAAAAATAAAGCAAAGTTGATACATATTAGAATGCAGTTTTACGTAAAATATACCAACTTACCAGTTGTTCGCCAGTTAAAACTTCCAAGAGAGATATTAGGTTATGTCCATCGCGTAAGTCTTCGAAAAGATCTCTAATATTTCGTCTAGCCTGTAACAAAAAAATAAAAAAATCAATATGGTATTAAAACATGAAAATATAAAGAACTACACACAAAAAAAAAGGAAAAATCAAACAATAATAAGTAAAACACAAAAGAATAAAAAAAAATCAAACAAAAATATGCATATCGAAAAAAAAAACTGCACGAATGTCTAAGTAGACTTACGGGGGCACAACAGGGGCTGTTGTTCACAATAACACACACATGAAGACAGGTGTAAGTCTGAAATATGAAAAATAATGTTCATTAAACATACAATTTGATTTTCTACAATTCGTATACAATTTTTAGACAATAGATTATTTTCTATAATAGTTTGAGTTTAAAAAACAAATTATTTTGATGTAATAATTATTAAAATTAAACACCTATTCCTTGCAACCATGCACAAGATGTAAAAGTTTCTTTCCTTCATTCGTGTACAAATCTCAATTAAACGCAGTAACCGATAGGTACAAGGTAAGAAGTAAACAATTCCCATATTAGGTGGCATGAATTTAACAGCAATAACAAAAATAAAACTCAACAATCAATTGAAAAGCATTTACATGCTTTTAAGGAATAAGGAAATCTTTGAAAAAATGTGACAATTTCTGTTTCTGTACTGCGGAAACATTTATTGCGTTATAAAAAAATCATTTGCATTACTGATTTAAGAAAAAGGATACTTGTATGTGTACTAAGAAACGTATACATTTGAGGAAGTTATCTCTTGTTTATAATTGATTGGTGTTTTTTTTTTAAATTCAATGATATGATACAGTTCCTTTGTATCAATTTGAAAAATTAACAAAGAAAATACAAAGTGAATCTTAAATAAGTGTAAATATTTTCAGGGCTGGTAGATAGATATCGATAAAAGAAACCTATTTTATCTTTACCGTTTTTCAAAAAAGTCCAAAATATCCGAGATATTTTCCTTTGAGAATTAAAAAAATATATATTTCTCGCTTGCATTTTGAGAACCGCCAGATCTTTTCTGTTTTATTTTTCTTGTAAATTTAATCTACTACCTATGTTGCTATATTATCAAGATATTATGTTGTATATTATGTTGTAGACGTGTTTCTGGGGTCGAAATATATCACCCCTAAAAATATTTGCACTTATTTATTAGACTCAGACTTATTATCAGACAACTTTGTTATAAATTTTCATCTAACCAATTATTTATCACCATTTATAGTGACGATATCAATATCACACATTTTGAGAGTGGAATGAGATGGCGCTCGACAGCACCAAAATTATAAAAGAATAATCTACTATTTAGAATTAAATCTAGGCAGTGCACTTAAGAATTAAAGTATTTAATGAGTAGAATAAGTTGCAATTTTCAAGTCATTATAATTATAGAAATAAAAATGTCATCTTGGTATCACCAAACGCTGCTTCTAGGGATTCATCAAGTCAAGTAGCTTGTTGTTTTTAGAAACTATTTGACTTGACTTAAAAAACCAAATATTTGAGAACCTCACTACTTGACTTGACTTGATTATCAATCGTTACTACTTGACTTGATATCAAGCGGTTTCAAGCTACTTGATATTACTTGATTGCATCTTGTCGCATTGCGCATCCTAGAATAGTGATTGGACATCGGTCATTTGACATGGATCACTTAATATTATGGATGCTGATAAAACATCGGTTAAAAAATATCGAAACCAAATATTTTAGAACCTCACTACTTGACTTGACTTGATTTTCAATCGTAACTACTTGACCTGATATCACGCAGTTTCAAGCTACTTGATATTACTTGATTGCATCTTGTGGCATTGCGCATCCTATAATAGTGATTGGACATCGGTCATCTAACATGGATCACTTTATGGATGCTGATAAAACATCGGTTAAAAAATATCGATGTTTTAAAACATCATAATGACACTAATAAAACTAAAATTCTTGACCCTTTAACGGCGTAGTAGTTACAAGTATGAAGTGTGTCCAAAATGCCTATCATATGGCCAAACCATATGTAGATAAAGCACTTGACCGAATCATAATCTACCTTTTGATATGATTTCCTTGCTTTTTAAAAAACGACGTATCAGCAAAAAAAAAGAAGAGACATTTGTAAATTAAGTGATACTAATATGAAATCTCAAAACATTTGCATACAAAATGGTTAAATTATTTTAATCCGTGATTCTCGTTAACAATAGAATTTAGTTTTTTCAATAAAGTTTATTATTGCAGGATTTTGTGGTTGATTAAAAATATCAAATGAAACTTAATACAATGTGAAGTAATCAAGTAGCTTGACAAAAATCATGAAGTTGTGAGCAATTACTTGACTTTTCAAGTACTCGAAATTGTAACTACTTGACTTGAACTTAAAAGTCAAAGTCTTGAAAAGTCAAGTAACTTGAAAGTCAAGTCAAGTAGTGAAACCCTAGCTGCCTCCCCCAACTATATCCAATCGCAAGCATTAATACAAGCACAATGCGTTATTTGAACGTAATTTTTAATAATCATATTTTATTATACATTATAATCATTTTTTTTTACTTAATGAATAATGAAATTTCGGTATTTTCAGTTTTTCCTTCCTATAAAAGCTAAACACTAGGGTTTCCGGAACCGGTGATTTCAGAGCTACAGCTAATTTCTATTCAATGATGGCGCACCTCGTCCATCGGCATGCAGGACATGGTTTTCAAAAGTAAAATCGATAAAGAATTGAGTTTTTAATGAAAATAACATCAAAATTATCAAAATTTTTAAAGTATAACAATCTGTGGTATAACATCAAATTTTATTCCAGTAATCAGTCGTGAATAAAATTTGATGTTATACCACAGATTGTTATACTTTAAAAATTTTGATAATTTTATTCCAGTAATCAGTCGTGAGTCGGAGCCACAATAGGCCCTCGCGGCCTCAGTGGAGGGTCCCCTATGGGACCCACTCTTAGTCAAATACAAAATACAATCAGTCGTGAGGAAATTAACATGAACACAAACATGAAAGCAAGCGAAGAAAAAAAACGTTCACATAAAACAATATAAACGAACTTAATTAAATTTGAAAAAAACACCTTACATTTTTTAATTAAAAATGCGAATATTTATAAAAACATAATATGAAATACCGTATGATAAAAAACGGCCTCAAAACGGTTGAGGAACAATCAATAATAATTTTGGATATGTCCATCTCTAAAACTTGTTAAAATTAATACTAACTATAGAAAGAGTAGAAAAGGATGGAACTTTTCCAGACACACAATTCTATTTCAAGAAAACTATTTTTTTCTCGAATTTTAAAATAAACTATTAAAAATCGTTTTTACTCAATATAAAAATAATTTACAACCTTCTTAAAGTCAACTGGCAGTAAGGGCCCATTAAGAGAGAATATTGCTTAAAAAATTCCTTAAAAATAAATCTAAAATACCAACAGATTGGTGCCAAATCAATTGACGCCACTAAATCCATGCACATCTAAAGCAGCCTTCATTAATATGCATGAACTCGAAGCAACTCGAACGAGATTGTTTTCCAACAATAGATTTATCAATTAATTGATGTTTATATCTGAAGCTCGCCTACAAATTATGCAGTAAAATTGGTCATGCGTAAGACTTTTCGTGACTGTCTTTGTTTTAGGCCTTGCATTCGGCCCCAATATGGCGACACAACGTGCTATCGCAGCATCTAAGAAGAAAGAACCGACAAGAATAGGAATTGAATTCAAACGGAGCAGTTAGGCTGTGTAGGGTGACATTGATTGTGTACCCGGAAAGCTTAAAATGTCACTGAGATTGTTTAATTTCTACTTACAAAGATTTAGTCACGTTTTACAAAACGTCAGTTTTACAAAAAAATATATTAAGTATACCGTTTGTTGCATCGAAACGGGGGACATAGGAAATGCCATCTAAATTTTGAAAACGTCAAATATTATCTCCCCAGATAATTTTATACAAAAATGGTATGAGACTTTTATGAAGAAGCGTTAAAGTTGTACTGTGTAAAAAAAATTATAATACGGCCCAGAGAAAGCTATAATTAAAATAACAGCAAAAATATGATTTTGTCATTGTAAAATTCGATGTCACATTTTTTTGTGTACAAAAATTTATGTGGTTTGGAAAAGGTGGTTTCTGAATTGGAATGATTATCTACAAAAGAATTATGACATGTTTGCTGTTCATTACTCACGATCACTCGTAGGCCTCGCTCTCTCATAGCACATACATCCACAATAATTAAAGGGATAGGGCTAGTTGGGGTAATGGTAAACAAGGGCAATTGTAAACAGGTCCAATAACTTTTAAATTTAGCGGGTAGGGAATAAGTCGACTAGCTACAGTGCCCACATCTTTGGTGTGTATTGACTCGATTAAATGAGTTTCTAGTACTTTTTTATGGTGCAAAAACATTTTTTTTGGAGTGCTTAAAACTTGTAAAACATTAGAACCTTAGCGAAATTTTGTTTAAAAATTTCAATTTGTGAATAACCTAAGATAATTTATATACATAGTGGTTTCATTTAGTGTTGTATTAGTAAAATGCATGTTAAAATTTGAGATTAACTTACGGGAAATAAAGTATAGAGGTGTTTACAAATGCCCCAGTAAAATAGGATTCCCGGGCAATTGTAAACTTGATTTTGGGGTAATGGTAAACACTGTTAACACTGATAAGCTCCAAGACAGATATGAAAAAGACCAAAAAAAAAAGAAACGTTAAAAATGAATTGGTTAGGTTTGTAGTAAGGAAGATAATATATTCGTTTTCGGGAAAGACAGATGTTTTTGAAAAACCTTAATATTTTTTGTACACTTTTGATGAAACAGTAATAAATAATTTGTCTTCATATAACAAAATGTTTTATTTTGTCTCCATTGGGAAAATTGTAAACAATTAAACGCATTGATAAACTTATAACCCAATTAAAAACAAACTTGTATAGTTTTTGGTTCATTATTACCCCATTTAAAAAATATGTTTACATTTACCCCAAAATTTGATTTTCCTATGGGGTAAATGTAAACAAATTTTTTTTGGAACCTATTGCAAATTTCTAGCTGTCCATCAAAGCACCTATTAAGGCTGTATTCCGTTGCAAAACCAGGCTAACCAGACCGGTAAACTACGGTAAAGAGCGGTTCCTGAAAAACATCGGTTTGATACGGAACGGTTTGGTAAAATACTGAAAATTGGCAAAATACTGGAAACGTCAAATAACGTTTTCTTAATTTCAATACC